AGGTCAGCGGCCTCAGTTCTGAGGCTTCATGATTACTGTGGTTAGATGATCCTGTTCCTTTTGGGCCTTCAGAACCCTGTCAGTTTATTCAGCTTAGTGTAGGCAGGGGGCCAGGTGAAAGCTACAGACAGCTTATCCCAGGAGGGTGAGGTTGTACTTGCCAGAGGCATGCATAGCTTTTGGAGGGGCAGCGGGGCTGGTCTGGGCACAGACGGGCATCTTCTGCCCTAGTCATCAGCCCAGAGCAGCATCTTGCCCAGGCCCCACCCTGTGAGCTGCTGGCTGCTTGCCTGCCTGCCACGCGCCCAGGATTGCTGAAGGCTTTGCTCATGTACCTCAGAAACAGCTGCGTGCCGGAAACTGGGGGCTGAGGCAGATGAAAGGGAGTGGGGTGCAGTGAGGGACCCTGTGCTAAGGACTTCTCCCTTCACAGCAGGCCGAGTGGAGGATCTTCATGGACTGTATTGTGGGTCACTCATCATAGAGTTGATCCTTACAACATGCTGGTTTGTGTTTGGGGCTTTTCATGGAGGCAGAGCCTGGATTTCAGAGGCCATAGAACCATCTAGGTTTGTACGGCAAGCATGTTGTCTACCCATGATGTGCAGCTTGCCCAGGTTTCAGAGGTCAGAAACTCGATATCCCAAGGCATGTGGTGTAGGGAAGTTAAGGAATACTTTGTGCTGTGATTTGGGCTGATGGGGGCTTTCAGAAGGGCTGGTGTTTGTTTTATTACCTATTTATATCCTGCTAGGTTCCCAGGGAATTAAGGCTATACACATAGCTCAGCTGTCTCCTGAGTAGGGCTGGATTCTTTCATTTAGAAAGCAGTTGGGATTACTGACTTCTCTTAGAAGCATTATGAAGAAAAACTTTAAAGATTCTTGTTAGTGTGAGCCCCACCCTGATTCAAAAGGTCCGGTTCATTGACCCCTCAATGTCCCCCACTAACTTAGTTCATTCACAGCTGTGAGTGGATTATTAGCTTTCAAACTAATCTGAGGCTAAAGGTGGATAGTGGGGAGATGCTCTAGGTGGGTAGGATGCTGATGTGGGTCTGTGGACTTGTTCACACTGAGTACAGAATCTGGAGGAGGCTTCTGATACCGGAAGGGTGACGTGAGAAAAGACAAAGAACAGCGTCTATTGCTTCAGTCCTGTTCCCTCTTCTATAGCAGTGATGGGGTGGCGACCTCTGCGTCCTTGATAGGTAGAAAGCTGATGCTTGACCTTGCTGGGCCTTAGGCAGACCTCGGTAGAATGGCAGGAGGGAGTAGAAGAGCCCCGGGCTCTCGGGCTTTGTTCTGTTTGCTATTGTCCCTTGGGAACGTTTGCCGGGAGAAGAACAAGGATAGTAGTGTGAGTGAGTCAGGGGTCTGGAGGGTTCTCTTATCCCATCCATGTCAGAGCAGTGATCTCTAGAATCAGTAGCCCCTGGCCATGCCTGCTCAGAAAAGGCCACAGATAAGAAGAGTCCATCTCCTGGCTAGAGTGACTGACACTGGCCGGCCTGCTGGTCAGGTGCCTTGTTCTTATCTGTGTGCACTCTGCTCAGCTGCCCAGCCTGCACTGCAAACCCTCTCTGCATGCCGAGTCCCATTTCTAATGAAAGTAGACTTTGTTCTCTGGAGGCAGCTAATCGTGCCCCATGGGCTGTAATCAGGGAGAAGGTATTTAATACAGGGCAGGTGGCAACAGGCGGCCGCATTGACTGGCAGATTGCAACATGGCAATTAGCAAGCTATCACCCTCCTCCCCAGCAGATATGAGGTAGTCTCTCTTCTGAACTGACTTTGAGTAGTAAGAATGAATGCAGGAATGCAGCAGTATTGGGAGTGAAGGCCAGGTTAGCCAGGCTAGTGGGGGTGGGGGCCGAGGAGAAGCCCTTCTTCTCTTCCTGCTTCAGGGTGTTTGGGCGTCACCCACTGTAGGTCAGCAGGTTCATCCCAAGAGCCACAGCCCATGCTGGCTCAGCCAGGGTGCCACCTAGCTCCGTTAGTGTGGACCTGAATCGTGTGGCCTGGCCTCCTAAGGCCCAGGTAAGTTGGGAGTAGACTTCTTCCCTGCTCATTGCCAGAGCTTCCTCCAAAAGAGTCACCTTGGCAGCTGGAGGCCATAAGGCCCCACAGGCCCGCCTGGGCCGTGCTTGTTCACGGTGGCCCACCAGAGCTTGTCATCTCAGCACAGGGCAGGGTTGGGAATCTACCTCGGGCTGAGCTGTGGTCAGCGGAGGCTGCAGCTTTGATGTCTCCCAGCCTCTAGGCCACAAAACCCGCTGCTGTTCACTCTTCCCTGGTCTGTTCTCTGGTCCAGGACAGTGGGCTGCCAGGCCTGTTGTCTGTCCGTGCTGTCCCCTACAGGTTGGATCCAGGGCACTTAGTAGATTTTGGGAATTGAAGCAAAGGCCCAGGTGTCCCAACATGCCCTGGTATTTATGAACATGGGTCAGGGAGTGGTACAGACCTGCCATAGGTAGTAGGGTTGGGGAACCCGGAAGGTTCCGGAAGGTTCTCAGGTACATTGTCCCTACTTTCCTAGTCAGGGGTGTTCCCCTCCTTGTTGAAGGGTCTGATAGAGAAGTAACCCCACCTCCATCCTTAGAATCCCTATCTGCATCTACTATCTTTGTCCTTGTCACACCCAAATCACCCCCCAAACCAGCAAACCAGATTGCTGCTAGCCTCAGAGAAGCCTGAAAATAAACACACGCTCACAGCTGCAGCCAGGACTTACTGTCAGGGCAAGGCAGGGCAAGCTGTAGGATGTGGTGCCTCAATGAGACAGCTCTGCCCACAGATAGAATTACCACGCACCTGGGTGTCTCTGTCCTCCTGCCCACTGTCCTCGTAAGTGCCCTGGTGCCTAGAAGAGAGTGGGGGCCGTGGCCATTAAGTAAAGAGAAGGCTGAGGTTAGAGGAAAAAGCACTCAAGGAACCTGCAGAGTGAAGGGTTCCTCAGCCCTGGGGTAGGGAGGGACGGGACAGGCAGAGAAGGGAGAAGGCAGCTGCCAGCCCCTGGGAACTTTCCCATCATCCGAAGCTCCATCGCCTGTCTCCCTTGTAGACCGTGGCTCTGGGCCTACCTTGTTTTCCAGGCATATACACCCACACACGCACACCTTTGACTGTTAGGGCCTGGGAATCTACACTGGTTTGGAACTTTTCTGGACCCTTCCCTCAGGCTACAGGAGTCCCTACTCCAGGGTTCTCTGGAGGACGGCCACAGAAGACCTGTGGTTGTGTCTTGTTTGTTCCCCCTTACCCCAGGAATGTGGTGTCCTTTCTGGCCCTCCCAGATTCCTGTGCAGGGAGTCAGCCTGACAGCATGCTGCTTGTGCCCTGTGGGGACACGTTCTGCCTGCTGTCAAAGGGGCGGAGGCTGGCTGCTCGCTCTTTTGCTACTACACCAAGCTTCCCCCCAAACCCAGGCCAGGGACCTTATAGAAGAAGGAGACTACTGCTTCCCCGCCCTCCTTTGCCCCCACCCTGATGCCCCAGGCCCTGCTGGAATGTGACAGGAGTCATGGCCAGGGCATGTCCCAACAGTAAGAACACACGCTTTAGCTTTAGCCGTAAGGCCTCCTTCAGCCCCCAGCTCTGTTTGGGTTGATGGGGGTGGGAAGAGATTGTTTTTTAGCTCAGAAAGCCACCTAGGGTTACTATTTCCTCTGATGACTGTGGTGCCTGCTGCCCCCGTGCTGCCGCCCAGCTTATTACAGGTGCTTCTTGGAATTTCCAAGAAGCTGAGGGTACCTGGCAGGCAGGTCACTAGGCTCAACCATGTGCATAGGTGTAGAGCAGGCTTGCGGTAGGGAAGCATATTACCCAGGCACTTCAGTGTGCCAGAGCAGCCCTGAGCTCGGAAACACGGGTCTCCACTCCCCAGACTCGGCTAAGTTTCTATATTCCTTTGAATGTGAGTGAGTGAGTGTGTGTGAGTGTGTGCGTGTGCACATGTGCGTAGGTGTGTGCGCGCGTGAGCGTATGTGCGCTCGCGCGTGAGTGTGCACACGCGTGTGTGAGCGTATGTGTGTGAGAGTGCACGTGTGCGTATGCGCGTGCACGCGCGTGTGTGAGTGTGTGCGCGCGCGTGTGTGCATATGTGTGCGTATATGTGTGGGCGCACGCGCAGGTCAGAGGACCACCCCGGGAGTCACTTCTCTCCTTCCACCACTGCCGTCCTGCTCCTCTGCTGACCTTTGGAAGTCTCATGTGCAATCGGTGTTCCCCAAATTCCTCAGCTGTTTATAGGCTGGGAGAAGCCTGGGAGATGAGCAGGACAATTGGGAGGTAGGAATAAGAATGGTACCAGATGCCAGGCCGTGGTGGCGCACGCCTTTAATCCCAGCACTTGGGAGGCAGAGGTTGGCAGATCTCTGAGTTTGAGGCCAGCCTGGTCCACAGAGTGAGTTCCAGGCCAGCAAGAGCTGTTACACAGAGAAACCCTGTCTTGACACCTCGAAAGACAAAAAAAGGTGCCAGACCTGCCAGGCATTGATGGTGCACACTTTTAATCCTAGAATTCAGAAGGCAGAGGCGGGCAGATCTCTGAGTTAGAGGCCAGCCTCATCTAGAGAGTGAGTTCCAGGACAGCCAGGACTACACAGAGAAACCCTGTCTCAATACAAAACAGAAAAAAGAATAGTAGCAGACCTATCCCAGGATGGGCATGCGGCAAGTTGAGACAGTGGACACTATATAGGTACAAATGTTTCTGGAGAAAGGCAGGATGGGTATGCGGCAAGTTGAGACAGTGAACACCATATAGATACAAATGTTTCTGGAGAAAGGCAGGTAGTCCATACTGTAGTTGTTTCTTTTTTGGGTTGGTTTCATTGTGTAACAGATGCCACTGTCAGTCTAATCCCTCCTACCTGCGTCCCTCTAACCTTCCTGTCCCACAGTCTCCTGCTTGCCGCTCTCTGGGAGCCTTCCAGGTCACAGACTGGGCAGGCGGTGGCTGACACCTGGTGTCCACTTTCTCCCCTTCTCTGGTTTCAGGAACTCTTGGCTAGAGGAAGTGGAGGGGCTGTGGGATGTGGAGAGCAGGAAGCTAAGCCCGGGACAGCAGGACAAAGAGCTGCCGACAAACAGACGGTATGTGCTCATGAGGCCCGCCTCCCCACTTGGTTCTGGGAGGCTGGCAGGTGAGGTGTGGGTAGGTGCTCTCTCTTAGTGGGAACTAGTAAAGAGAAGATGTTTTGGGCCAGCTGGGTTTGGCCTTTGTTGGCAGTGTTCAGAGAGTGTCCTCAGCTTGGAGACATTCATCCAGGAGCCGGGGTCGGGTCAGTATCCTCAGACTTTCAAGGTTTGTTCATAATTTATGGAAACCAAGCCTGTATTTAACATTACCTAAGTGCTGGGCACTGTTTTTATTGTAAACAATCTCACTATATAGCCCAGGCTGGCATCAAATTTAGGACCTTCTTGCCTTCTTCCTCCCCAGTACTCGGGATTACAAATGTGTATCGATGGCTATGTCTCTGCTTATTGAGGCAGGATTCCAGCATGTAGTTCTGACTGGTCTGAAACTCGCTATGGACAGACCAGGCCTCAAGCTCACAGAGGTCCACCTGCCTCTGCCCCGAGTGCTTTGATCAAAAGTGTGGGCCACCACGCAGCCTGAGCAGACACTGTTTTTTTGTTTTGTTTTGTTTTGTTTTCATGGCACCTGATGCTGCTGTTAGCTTCACTTTACAGAGTTGAGGAGAATTTGCTTGTGCAGTTCTCTGTGGCCACAAGTAATGGGCTGCTCTTGAGGTTCCCTACCCCACTCTCAGAGCAAGGCCTGCTCACATTGGGGCCTGTTCTCTGTTGGATTCTTGACCTCATCTCCAGCACCAAAGTGTAGCCAGCCCTTCTAATGACCCAGCTGTGGCTCAGGCCTGCCTGCCTGTGTGGTGCCGTCTGCGTATACCCTCTCACTGTCTTCTTAAAATTCTTAGCTTGGAGTTTGTCTTCCGTCCATTTAGTGTGTGTGTGTGTGTGTGTGTGTGTCTGACAGTGGTTGGACAAGTGTGCGTGTGCCACAGCTATAGCGGTGAGAGATGGCTTGTCAGGAGCAGTGAGGGCCTTTACCCACTGAGCCATCTTGCTGGCCCTAAAAATTGTCTTACCCACATCTTTTGAGCCTGTGTCTTCCTGGCTTCTCTTGGCAGGTAGACAAGCCTGCACCTTCCAGAATGACCAGTGCTGCCCCTGCTAAGAAACCTTACCGGAAGGCACCTCCAGAGCATCGAGAGCTGCGCCTGGAAATCCCTGTGACCCAGCTTGAGCAAGAGGTAAGCCAGACTGGTGTCTGGCCCCGGCTGGTAAAAATGCTGTCAGCTGGCTTCTCAGACCTGAGATGCTAGTCATGGGTTAAGGCGAAAGAATCACATTGCGGGTACCACTGTGCCAGCCCCAGTGAGGCTGTCTGTCTGTATTCATGTCCCAGGGAGCCGTATCTTTGAGCTCAGCAGAACTGGCCCCATTTACTGCAGTTACCTCTGTAAGAGCCAGCCCATTGGACTGTCCGGTCCCTGGCTGTGGGGAGCTGGACTCCAGGCCTCTGTGGTGGAGCCTAAGGAGGTGGCACCCCAGCCGCTTGCTACCACAGAGGCTGTTCTCCATTGTCACTCGCAAGTCCCACCCTTCCCCAGATACCTTGATAACTTCGTACTTTCTACCATAGGAGGTCTGTGGTCAACTGCCAGACGCTTGAGTCTGGCTCTCTTCCCTCATTCTAGGGAGCACGGGTGGTTGACCCAGCTTGTTGTTGTGTGTCCCCCATCATCGTCCCCCCCCCCCCCACAAGATCCAGTCTCAGATGCTGAGCATCAGGTGTGTGTGTCATGGCCTCCTGTGGACAGTTGAGGGAGTAAAGGCCATGGTTTGTTCGTTGTAGCTCAAGGAACAGTGGACAAAACTTAACCATTTTTATGCATTTTGCTTGGGGCCCTGGTTTATAGATGAAGGAACTAAGATTAAGTGAGCTGAAGCCTTCACCAGTATGCTGAGTAGGGTCAAATCCAGTTGTCAGGCTGGAGCCCATGATCCGAGCTATTTGCTTCATTGGCTTGCTCATGGCCTGCACTTCTAAAGTGTCCCTTCTGCATAGCTTGGGCCTGCTCTGCTTGTCTGAGTTCCGGTGCTTGGGCCATGACCATTGCAGGAGCTTAGGAAAGTTGGGGCAGGGGTTTCAAAGCAAAACACAAAATGGTTTGGTGGTGTGTACGTATATTGGAAGATGGAGGCAGTACGATCCGGAGTTCATGTTACCTTCAGTTACTTAGTTTGTTCAGCCTAGATTGTATAAACAAACCCTCAGCAACCAAAAGCCCCGTAGCATTCCGTTTCCCCACCTCCAAAGGTCCTGCTTCTGTCCATCTTCCTCTGTAGGGAACTGGGAGGGCTCTTTCAACATTCACAACTTTCATGGTTTGCCTTCACTTCTCACTTGTCTGGAAAGTATGTGCCATGCTCATGAGGAGTTTGGTGGACACCTGAGAGGTGCTCTCTTCTCGGGGAGAGATGGCATGGGTACCTGGTCCCCTTTGAAGATGGCTTTAGGATTAAGGGTAGATATCGGAAGAGGTGCTAGAATTTTCTGGTTGGCATGGGAGAGGATATAGTAAGCTTATCCAGACATCAGTGGGTTTCGTTTATCTCTAGACCCCCCCCCCCCCCCCCCGCTTGCTCTCTTCTGTGACGTAGACCTTTCCAGGGAGCCAACCGGGAGGTCAGCGGCTGGGGTTGAGACTCAGGCTTTTTCTCTTTTTTTGACCAGGACTCCCTGACTGACGCAGAGAGGATGAAGTGAGTACTGGTTGCCCGTCATTGTTTTGTGCACTGTGCGCTTTTCCGCTCCCCGCTTTCGGCTTCTGGTACTTCTGACATTGATTGGGGCACAATGTTGTGACCTGTGGTTAGCTGTTCATGCTCAAGAACCATAGATTTAAATTACAAAACAAATAAAAATCACAGAAAAAAATGTTAGTTTTAAGTAAGTTCATGATTTTTGTGTTGGGCGACTACGCATGCTCGGCAGAAGTAAAGGTTGAATGGGGTGTAGGGCTCAGTGTTGTAAGGGTTTTCCTCGATCTGTGGGCTGACCTTCCCTTTCGAACTGGCTCTGGCGAGTGAGCCACCTGTGCCAGCTGCCTCTTAAAGCCTTTCTGTCAGCACTTGAGGCCTCCTGGGGGAGCAGTGCTGGTCTGCATTCCCAAGACATTAATAAAGGGGAGGCCTGATTGTTAGGTGGGGAAGGAAGCTGGAGTGTGAGCAGAGGCAGGTTGGGAGCTATGACCTTTCTTTCTGACCTAGTATTCTTCTGTATTGGGTGGGGCAGAGTGGGATGTTTTACACCGTTCTCTGCCTCCGCTCCATCCCACCTCCATCCTAGGCCTTCCTTGAAGCAGAGGGCCGTATAGAAAATGTCTCCCCAGCTAGACCAAAGCTAAAGAGATCCACTTGCCTGTCCTCTCCTTGCCTAGTCCTGTCTGGTGCTCCAGGGTCAGCTGTCTCTGATGGCTCCTTGTCCCCCTACCCCAGACTTTTGCAGCAGGAGAATGAAGAGCTTCGCCGACGCCTGGCCTCGGCCACCAGACGCACTGAGGCCTTGGAGCGGGAGCTGGAGATAGGGCATGAGTGCCTGGAACAGGAGTTAGGCCAGAGCCGTGAGGAGCTGGACACATTTAAAGACAAATTCCGCAGGTGTGGGGGAGGGCCCGGTGTCTCCCATTCTTGGGGGTTGTATCTGGAAGAGCCCAGAGACTCTCCCAGACTCCCGTGGAGAGGGCTGGTAGGGCCTAACGAACAGGATCTTCAACAGGGCTCTTTGCCTTATACTGTTCTGCAGGCTGCAGAACAGCTACACAGCTTCCCAGCGGACCAACCAGGAGCTCGAGGACAAGCTGCACACACTGGTACTGTGCTGGGATGGGCTTGGCTGGCACTGTGCTACAGCATAGCAGTGGGCCAGGACTTGCCAGGGGACGCCGGTCACCCCGGGGCTTGGGGGGGTGGGCGGGGCAGTGCTGGGGGGCTCTGCTGTGCCTGGCGGGACTGTCTTCGCTCACACTGTTTCTCTTCTCTCTTGGTCCCCCTCATGCTGCCACCGCTGCTGCTGCATTCTCCTATCAGGCCTCTCTTAGCCACAGCTGGATTTTTGCAGTTGCGTCTGAGTTTGTGTGTTTCCCCCTGGTCCTGATCTCCTTGGTCCATATCAGGGATCGTAGGGTCCAGGGCGTTTCCCTCTGCCTCGAGCATATCCACCCTTCCCCGGCACTGTGAGCCCACTGTAGACAGTGTCCCCACCTGGGGGAAGAGCTAGGGCTGGGACTCCGCTCATGGCTCTGGTAGAGGTGCTGGTTGATAGCAGCCCTCAGAGCTTTCCCAGCTGACGTGGCAGCAAGCCCCAGCCGCAGGCCCACATTAAGAGCTGAAGACCAGAAGGTACAGCTCCCTCTGCCCATCCAGCTAATCTCACCCGTCCGGGCCCCACTCCTAGCTGACCCTAGGCTTTAGTCCCTGGCTGAGCTTCTGCCTCTGGGACGTTAGTCCTTTGCCTGGTGCCTAGAGTCCCGTGAGCTCCCTCAAAGGATGCTAGTCTCTTAGACTGCCTCTGCCCTGGGTTCCCATGGCACCAGGCCCTTCTCAGACAGCCCCCTCTCGTGAGCAGCCTGCAGAGCAGAGGAAATGCCGAGGAGTCTCCTTCTGTCTGTCGTCATTTGTCTGCTGTCTGCATTGGCTGCCCCAGCACCTGTGGAGGTGGTGGAGGGGGAGGGCTGGCTGGGGCCTGGGCTGGCTTTACCACAAGTCTGTGATTCAGATCAAGAAGGCTGAGATGGACAGAAAGACGCTGGACTGGGAGATTGTGGAGCTGACCAACAAGCTGCTGGATGCCAGGAACACTATCAATAAGCTGGAGGAGCTCAATGTATGTGCCCGCCCTCAGCGCGGCTGCCTCTTAGACCCTGGGGTCGGGGGGCTGGGCTCTAAGCAGGTCTCTGTCTCCAGGAGCGGTACCGACTGGACTGCAACTTGGCTGTGCAGCTGCTCAAGTGCAACAAATCCCACTTCCGGAAGCACAAATTTGCAGATGTGAGTGACACCTGCAGCAGCACCCTCGCCACTCAGGACTACCCAGCTTCTGCATCTCCGCCTTCCTGCTTCCTCCTAGTCCCCTTTCCACTCCTTCCTTTGCCCCGGGTTGTGCTTGGAGCTGTTTAACTGTTGAGGTTCTGGGCGCCGCTGAGGGCCTGTTACTAGTGTTGGAGCTGGCTCCTGTTAGTGTTTCTGTAAGGTACTCTTCAGTCTGCGGAGCCTATAGAGGAAGAAAGGGTGGCCAGAGCCATTAGCCATGGTATTAAGAAAGGCCATCTGATCCCATCCCTCGTAGGATCAGAGCCTGTGCCTCCAAGCCTCCAACCCAAGGCTGAGTTGGCCTGCAGAACTAGAGGTATTTGCAGGTCTGTAATGAGGGCAGCTCTCTGAGTCTGGTTTTAGTGCAGGCCGCCTGAGACAGAGGAGATAGGTTTCAGTGCACACAGGTCTTAGCAGTAGAGCTGACCAACTTCATGTTCAGTACCAGGTTGTGTACAAGCTTTAAGCTGAGTGCATGGGGCTGTCTAGGACACAGTGGCGGCTGCTGTTTGTCTTCGCCAGGAGCCATTCATCTCTTCCTTCTTTTATTCTAGCTACCCTGTGAGCTACAGGACATGGTTAGGAAACATCTGCGTGGTGGTCAAGAGGCTGCCAGCCCCAGCCCTCCTTCCAGCCTGGCCGCAGGGGCTGTGGTGCCCACATCAGTCATCGCTCGGGTGTTGGAGAAACCGGAGTGTCTGCTGCTCAATTCAGCCCAGTCAGCCAGTGCTGGACGCCCCTTGGCTGAGGATGCATTCGTGCATGTGGACATGAGTGGGGATGCTCCAGGTGACTCAGCCAGCCCCCCAGGCCCTGGCAGTCCCTCTCCACAACGCAATGGGGACTGCTGCCCTGTGAGTACTGCAGGATGCTCCCCAGAGGAGGAGCTGCCCCTGCCAGCCTTTGAGAAGTTGAGTCCCTACCCTACCCCATCTCCGCCTCATCCATTGTATCCTGGCCGGAAGGTAATAGAGTTTTCTGAGGATAAGATTCGAATCCCTCGCAATAGCCCCCTACCCAACTGTACTTACGCCACTCGCCAGGCCATCTCCCTGAGCCTGGTGGAGGAGGGCAATGAGCGGGTCCACCGCAGCCCAGTGCCTAGCAACCCTGCCTCAGCCCAAGGCTCACCCCACCACCAGCCTAGTCCAGCCCCCGCAGCGCTCAGTGCCCCAGCTAGCTCTGCCAGCTCTGAGGAGGACCTGCTGGCCAGCTGGCAGCGTGCCTTTGTGGACCGCACCCCGCCTCCTGCTGCTGTGGCCCAGCGCACAGCCTTTGGACGAGATGCTGTCCCTGAGCTACAGCTCCACTTCTCCCCCAGCCACTCTGAGGCCCTGCCTCCTTCCCCGCACCATGAGAGTGGACTTCTACCAACAGAGCCTGACTCTGGCTTTCCCAGGGAAGAGGAAGAGGAAGTGCTGAACCTGCCTGTCAGCCCCGAGGAAGAGCGCCAGAGCCTGCTGCCTGCTCATGAGGGCACAGAGGAAGGACCCAGTGCTTCCCATGTTGATGGCAGGGCCTGGCCACTCCCCAGTTCCAGTCGCCCCCAGCGCAGCCCCAAGAGAATGGGAGTACACCACCTGCTCCGCAAGGACAGCCTAACGCAGGCGCAGGAACAGGGAACCCTACTCAGCTGAGCCCACCTGCCTTCCTGATATCACCCGTCCTGAACCCTGCTCAGACCCGGGGGGCCGTTTCCTATGCGAGTGGGGTCCACACCAAACCTTGCAGCTGCTTTGGCACTGACTGGCTTTTTTCTTTTCCTCTTGAAATGCTTATTCTCCAAAGGTAGTAAGTCATTTGAGTGCCGGGCTCTGTCCTCCAGTCAGTCAGTCCAGGTGTGATCATGGGGAAAGGCCCGGTTTGCCAGTGTTCATATCCCATTCATTGATGCTACTGACCCGATTACTCTTTTTCCTCTGCACGAGCTACTCTTAGGCCTGGCCCAGCTGGCCTAGGGACAAGGGTGGACTTACTCAGGCAAGGCTCCCCTCAGCTGTTCCCATCCTCCTCTCCAGAGGATGGGACTTCAGGGGCCTCAGGCTAGGCTCCAGGTGAGGCCTGGCCCCCTCTTAACCTTGGCTCTAGACTGTTACTCCCAGATTTGGGGAATTTTCACATTAATGACTTTTAATATCAAATAAAACTTATTTTACAGGTATGGCTTAGTTTGCCTTAATGACTTTCTCCTTCCCACTGTAATCCCCATTCTTGTTTTTATTTTTGAGATGGCATCTCATCTAGACCAGGCTGACCTAGAACTCACTTGCCTTTGCCTCCAGAGTGCTGGGATTAAAGGTGTGCACCCCATGCCTAGCTAACATTTCTAAGTGTGTGTGTGTGTGTGCGCGCGCATGCAGGTGTCCACACCTGCTGAACCCCTCTCCAGCACATAAGTATTTCTAGTCCAACTTTTCCTGGTCTTTGTCAGAGACTTCCCTTTAGCCCATTCTGCCTGGCTTCCCTTGGCCCAAGGCATGGGGACAGGATGCTCAGGCAATGGCAGGGGTAATAACAAGCTTCCCAACAGGAGGAGGGTGACGTTCAGCCCAGCCCCTCGCTCTAGTTATCTTCAGATGTCTGAGCTCCCAGGACCCCTAGGTCGACCAAGGCTGACCTTTTAGAGTCAGAGCTGTGGGATGATAATCCTAGTACCTATGAGTGACACTGCCAGTCCCTCCCATTGGTCATCCCCCAGTGACTACAGCTCCGAGTCAGGTTGTGGAGTTTATAAAATCTGTTCCGAGCCAGCGGGTTGCAGCCAGAGCTGCCAACAAGTTCAAAGTTAGTACCCTGGGTTCAAGTGCCCCCAACCCCCAAGGCTGTTGCCAGCGACAATTGCAGAGTCTCCCACCACTATCAGGAGCTGCCAGAGCCCCAGCCAGGACCTTTCCCTGCCATACGGAGGAAGGCAGTGGGGACAGACACAGGCAAATGCAGTGACGCCCAGAAGCCCAAGTGGAGAGTCACATCTCGGTCTCAGCCAACAGACTGTCCCCTAGTCCTGATGTCATCAGCACCATCTGAGAGCTGGGATCTGTGGAAGGGCAGAAGGATGTTCAGCCACCGCTCATTGCTAGTGAGCCTCACAAATAGATGAGAGTCATGGCCTGGCTTCCCAGCACCGCCCCCTTGTTCCAAATCTTCCACATCAAGCTCTCATCCATTCTCCAGGTTCTTACCGCTGGGGCACATCCAGGAACTGCCACCCCGCTGGGGGGCAGCAGGCTCCCGCCCTCTTCCCCATTCCTGGGTGTCCACAGCCCCTCCTGCCACCTCTTCCTCTTCCTCCCCCTCAGAGAGGAGGTCACAGATCTGCTGCTGCAGCTCTGGGCTAATGCTGTTCTCAGCCAACACCAGGCTCCGCAAAGCCGTTGGGTAATTTTCTACCATGTCCAGCAGGGTCTGGGGAAAGGAGAGAAGAGCACAGAAAAATAGACACAAGAGAGTTGGCTCAGTGGCTAAGAGCACTGGCTGCTCTTCCTAAGGACGGGGGTTCAATCCCCAGCACCCATGTGGCTGTTCGCCACCATCTGTAACTCCAGTTGCAGGGATCTGACACCACCTTCTGGCCTCCAAGGGCATCACAGATATGTGGGAAAAAACAGTTGGTTCACGTAAAATAATAAATGTTAATTTATAAAATTAAAAGCACGAACATAATTTAGGTAGCCCTTGGATCCAACCAGGCCAGACCTTGGGTCTGTCCCCAGACACGGTGTGACCATCTCTGGCTTCTCACCTGAGCGGACTGGTTTGTGAGCCCTGTGCCCTCCAAGTCTAGGACTTCCAGGGTACGGCTCGAGGCCACAGCTACAGCCAGCATCCCTGCCACATGGTCACCTGAAAAGACAGCACCACTTCTCAGCCATCTGGGAAAGCAGAGGTCATCAGTCATCAGTCCTAGTCAGGACCTCAATGCCTGCCAGGAGACACATGGAGCAAGTCAGACCCATGGGTGCTAACTGAGGCTTAAACCTAGCTGTCCTTTACAAGACCCCTGGGAGTTCTCATTTCTCTTCCTTCCCCTGGGGGAGGGCGGGGTTACTATGGCAACCGGTGGGCTGAGGTTTTTGGATAGGAAAGGAGCAGTGGAAATTGAGGGGAATGATTTTAAGCTCACCCAGGGGGTTGTAGTCCAGGTTGAGGACGCGGACTTGGGAGCTGTGGGCCACAGCAATGGCGAGGCGGCTCCAGCCCTTAGGGGTGATGCCAGGGTTGGCACTCAGTGTTAGTTCCTTCAAACCTAGGCGGCAGCATTAGTGAGAATCCAGACCCTTCTCCAGTCCCTTCTCTACACGGGCTGAGCCTAATGGCTAGAAGCCACCTTGTCCCCAACTACAGTAATCTGGAGCAATTAGGGAGCTACTCACTCCTCCCCTGTCTGGGTCCCTGAGCTTCTCCCTTCCTGAGAAGGGTAAAAAGACATTCTTACTGCACCCTGCCCCCATCTTTCAGCACTGGGCCACACCCCCTTCTCTCTGTTATCAGTCACACTAGCTCATGCACTCAGTAGGGTCCTGCTCACCAGACTTGGCTCCATCTGGAGGGAGGAGGCCACAGATGAGGTTGATGGCTTCATCACCCAGCATGCAGTCCCCCAGGTCAAGAGCCACAAGAGCAGGATGGAGAGCCAGGGCTGGGTTCAGCAAAGCCAGTCCAGCATCTGTCAGTGGGCTCCCGTGCAGGCTAAAGGTTGAGATGAAATTAATCATGAATCGCCAGTCCTATCTGTTTGGGAAAGGTGCCCCTCCCCGAGACAAAAATGGGAAGGAATGATGGAAATTCTAGATTTGAACGATGGAAAGGGAATTTGTCGTCCCCCCCACCTCGGGGTAGGAACTGGTAATGAGAACATTGCGCAGTGAGGGGTGTGTGGATAGTGTACTGGGGAGTCAGCACACACGCTCAAGGGCCTCTGCGATCCTTCACTGGGTAGGGCTGGACAGGCTGAGCTGTAGTCTCCATGGGAGGTGACCCCTCTTCAGAAAAGAGGGGCTTCACAATGAAGTAACTGGGGGTGAGGTGGGGAGGAAAAGGCATTTCCTACCAGGAAGGGCTAGGCATCCCAACTCTCCTGCGGGTCTGAATGTGAAGCAAAGTCTAGAAACGATCCATGTTTCTGGGAGGGTGTGGTGGACCCAGAAGAAAGATGAGGCGTGCATTAGAGGTTGCGAAGGCGGGACGGTGGGTAAACAGGGTCTGGAAGGTGGTAGGGGGTGTAGTGGCCGGGACCCCTTTGCGAGGGGACACACTCACAAGAGGGACTGGATGGAGCGGTTGGTCCGTAGCGCTTCCGCCAGCTGCTTGATGCGGCTGGGGCTGGACACGACGCCCAGGTTAAGGTTGAGCTGCGCCAGGGACGTGGCTCCAGCTAGGGCCCGGCAGATGCGGCCGAAGTCGCGGTCGCACAGGCGACAGCCGCGCAGCGACAGCAGGCGCACCGCGTTGTCGCGCAGGCCGCGGCAGATGTCCCGCACCTCAGCGCCTGACAGTGGCTCCCCCGAAATCTGGATGGAGCTGGGCAGCATGATCCCACGACTGGGCCCGGGGGCTGGCGCCGGTGTCCCGGCCTGGGCAGAAGTTGGCCCCGCTGCTGCCGGGGGCGGGGCGGGGACTAAGGTCGCGGCCTCGGTCTGGGTTGTAGCCGGAGCGGGGGCGGAGGCGGAGGCGGTAGAGGCTGCGGCGGAGCCGAGGCAACAGCGGCTGGGGCAGCGACGAAGCGCGCCCGGTCCGCGGCGGGAGCGAAAGCAGGCGCGGGCCCGGGATGCGGAGGCGCCGAGGAGGAGCGGCGCGGGCGCGGGCGCGGGCCGGGGACGGGGACGGAGCCGCAGCGGCCCCGCGCCGGGGCTCCCACGCCGCCTTGGAGGCCGCGCCCGCTCTGCGGGCCCCGGGGCCCGGCGGCACGGCTCGCGGGGACAGCCGGGGCGGGATGCAGCTCAGCTTCAGCTGCTGCGCCGGAGCAGGCGGCGAGTTCCTATGGCAACGGTTGCGTCACTGGCTCTCGCCCCGCCCCCCCGCCCGGCATGGACCACGCGGCCAGCGCGCGATGCGTGTCTTAGGGCGATGGACTAGGACCCGAGGGCCTGACTGCGTGAACAGAAGGTGGAAGGGTGCAGCCTCACGTGGGCAGGGTGGAGGCAAGTCACGCTGAGATTAGCCTTTGATGCCATTTCGGCTTCTTTTGCTTATTCTCCGGTGCTTCTTCATTCTTAAGGTCTGAATCCCCAGATTGCGCGCCTTTGCCAAGACCCTGGACAATCAATTAGTCCAGTTTAGAAGTCCCTAGTCCCTTTAATCCATGCCCCGCCCCGCCCCCATGTCCCAGTGACGCGAGGCGTAGCCTGCGTGGGGATTCCTGTCCACTGGGTCTTCCCGGTCAATGTGGCTGCGCCGGACAGAATCCCTAGGGTAGGGCAGGTGACCCTACCTGGAAGACGTTTTAACATCCAGGATGGGAATCGGGATGGGGTGTAAAGTAGCTGGAGCAGTGAAGCCGAATTTTATCCCTGATTGCAATGGGTATTTGATTTGTGCAGCAGGGTAGTGTAATAGGAAGAGTCATTTTTTTTTTCTTTTAAAAAAGTGAGCTAGGCATAGTGGCTCACGCCTTTAATCTCAGCATTTGGGAGGCAGTAGTGGCAGGTGGATCCCTGTAAGTTCGAGGCCAGCCTGTCTATAGAGAATTTCAGGACAGCCAGAGCTACATAATGCTGTCTGGAACTTCCTCCAATCCCCTCTAAATAAAAAATAAATAAAAAAGGAAGAAAGAAAAACAAAACAGTAAGGTCAAAAGCTATACTCCCTCTGTTAACTATTTAAATTGTTTAAAAAATTTGTGTCGGTACCTGCAGAAACCAGAAGAGGGTGCTAGAGTTACAAGACAATGTGAGCCATCCAACATGGAAGCTAGAATTCTGAATCCTGGTCCTTTGCAAGAGGCACGTGCTCTTTCTTAACCACTGAGCCATCTCTCCAGCCCCTAGATTTTATTCTTAATTATGTGTATGCATGTGAGTGCAGGTGTCCTCAGAGACCGTTGGATCCCCTGGAGCTGGAGTTATAATCAGTTGTGAGCTACCCACCATGGGTGCTGGGAATGGAATTCAATATTGTCCACTTTTAACCAGCACCCAAAATTTATGATTTGTTGAAACAGGGTCTTACTGTGTGGCCCTGAATGTTCTGGAACTCACTCTGTAGACCAGGCTGGCCTTGAACTCAGAGATCCACCTGCCTCTGCCTCCCGAGTGCTGGGACTAAAGGAAATACACCAACACGCTCAGCCTGGATTTACTTCTTCAATGGAGGTTAGAAGGTGGTGTTGCTTAAGAACACTTGGAGGGAAGACTGGACACTAAAGCCTCAGTAAAACCATGTCTGGCTTCAACGCCAGCTGTGTGGGCATTATTTCACAGTGGCCCAGGAACAGAAGGTCCTTGTCATGTCAGTGGAATTGTTTTCGTTTGTCATTGCTGTGTTGGCTTCTCAAAGGTACAGCCAGCCTAGACTCAAGACTGCTCTACACATACATGAGGACTGTGGCTCCCATGCTGGGACCTGCCTGCTGCTCTGTGTGGGTCAGCACCTCCAGCCCGCGGAGGCCGTTTCTACAATCAGCTGCTGCCTTCTCAGAAGGCTGCCTGCCTTTCCTTAACCCTGCTCGAGAGAAGGTACAGAAGGCACATGGCGTTCCTGCTGCTGACAGAAGAGACATGTATCAGAAGTAGGGTGACAGGGGAAGGGCTGGGACCGGAGCTGTAGTTCCAGACTTCAATCAGTATTTTAATTACCAAGTCTATATTTAGCAGTACAAGAAGGGAAGGGAGAGAAAAGGGGTAGGTGGTGAGGGCCTCGGAAGAGCTGACCCATATTCTGCACCTGGCCGCAGAGGCGTGCAGTCCTGGCCAGGACTCCATGGCCCTGTGTCTTTCAGAAGCCAAGGCCGGTACCAAGCAGGTGTTTAGGCAGCAAAGGCCCCAGCGGCAGCTGCAGGCCTCATCAGGGACGTGTGTCCTCAGTCCTGTCCTTCTGTCTTCCTTTGCTCCAGAGTTGGGCAGTCAGGGCTGGCCAAGGGTTTCAGGGAGGTCAGTGTGACTGCAGGGTCACAGCTATGGCCTTGGCGGTGGCATTGACCACACTGACAGGAAGCCCGGCAGCAGGGGGCACGGCGGGGATGTCTCTAGGGACCCTCTGCATGGGTGGGAGGTTGGGGCCCTCCAGGGTATCCAGGATCCCTACGGGAGGAAGGAGGCGGGGTGAGTGAGAACTGGTTAGGTCCCCCGGGCAGCTCAGCCAGCCCACTCCCCCACACACTTACCCTCTACCACCTTGTGGTAGGCAAAATGCAGATAGAGTAGAAAAAGCATGTGCAGAGCAGCCAGTGTGCCACAGAGGAGCAGCCGCTGGGTGGGGCCTACAGTCCTCGACACCAACACTGCCACCTATGGCCACAGGTACACAGTTCAGAAAACAGTTCATGTTTTCAAAGTGAGGGATGGAGAGGATACCCAGGGTCCAACTGTGTAGGGCCCTTTGTGGGGCGGGCGGAAAAAACTGCTCAGCTTACCATGCGCAGGGTGGACAGCCCACCCACCAGCAGCCAGAAGAGGTAGAAAAGGGCATGGAGGTGAATGTTATAGGTGATGAACAGGACAATACAGTGCCCAAAGAGGCCATAGCCCTGGAGAGAGATGAGAGGATCATCAGCTGGGCTGGAGTGGCCTCTGGCCCTCAGTGGGGTCTGCTAGCCTGCCCCTCCTATCCCAAGTCCACACATCCCTGGAGGGCCACAGGCCGCACCTTACTGATCTTAGGCTCACCCAGCCCACTCCCGGGCTTGGCTCCTTACCAGCAGTGCCAGCATCTGCAGCATGGTGATCTGGGCATTGCACAGGTAGGCAAGGAAATAAATGAAGGACGAGACACCCAGCCAGTATCCAAAGCAGGTGCCAATGGCTGTGCCCATCAGGGTGCCCTCACGCTGTGGGGTGAAGGCTCTGCTTAGGGCTGAGACACCTCTGATCTCAGCCTCACCCAGGGCTTTCTGCAAGGGTTGCTCCTGTCTCACTCCACCACCATATCCTCAGGCAGTTTTCAGCCTACATCAGCTACCCTCCCTTCCGCAAGGCCTGTGTCCTGCTTACGATAATGGTATCAGAAGTCTTCATCCCATGAAGAAGGATGGCAACCAGTGTGAAGACCAGCATGAGAGGTCCATAGAGCTCACCTGCAACTTTCTGTCAACACATAGCACATCCAGGCTGGAGGCTGCAACGCCTCTTCTCTTCACACCTTCCCAGGCTTGGCCTGGTGGCCCACCCTCTACCCTGGTGCCTCTCCATATTCACCTGGGGGAAGCTGACCATCTTGATAGGGATCATGGACTCCAGGAGCCTGGGAGAGGAGAGGAGAGGAGGGATGAGAGCAGGTGCAACACTATGCCGAGGCTCTGGAGGAGAGAGTATGCCTCTTACTCATGCCTCCACGAGGACATACTGGACGAGAGGGGAGGGGTAAAGGCAAGGAAGGACAACCTTCTCAGGTAAGTGAAATAGCAGCTACTTGAAAGCTTGGAGAGACCAGAGCATGTGACCATTTACCTACGTGGCCTACAGAAGACAGACAAACACTGGCAGAGGGTACCCAAACGCAGAAGCCTGGGGACAGTGTAACTACCTAGGGAAGCTTCCTGACTCTTTCTGATGGCTATTCTTCCAGGCAGTGAGCATTTTTCTTAAAAAATATACTAGAAGCTTGGTGGTGGTGCACGCCTTTAATCCCATCAGAGATAGGTGGATCTCTGTGAGTTCAAGGCCAGCCTGGTCTACCGAGTTCCAGGACGGCCTCCAAAATCCTGTTTCAAAAAATAAAACACACACATACAAAAAGAAAAGAAATATATACTAGAAGTGGTAGGAAAATTCCACACAGAATGAAGGAGATCATTTCTTTCTTTGCCTATGGCTATTACACCTTCCGTTACTCTTTTTTTAACGAAGGTGCCTTGGACTATTCTTTTTACTTACACATTACTTGCTCTGGGAAGCCTTCCCTTTCGGACCCTGCAGCCTGTCCCACAGCTGAACTAGAGTACTGTGTTGTGAGTGCATTCAATAACAAGGCTCCCGCCTACCTTCACTGATGAATCAGGTATCACAGAATAAAAACCAAATGCACTGTGGCCCTGGGTTTTATATCAGCACTGGTTCCAGGAAGAAAAGAACCAAGCCAAGACTGAATCCAGTTCTTGAGAGGGCAGTTAATGACTATGCTGACAGTGGCCAGAGAGAAAAGAGTTTAAAAAAAGAAAAGAAAGAGAAAAGAAAGGCTAAAGACAGCAGAGCCTGTTCTTGCGAAGCTCTTGGTCTCTGGAGAGACAGACCAGGGATGAGTCTAATTCAGCCATCTGGGAGAAGCAAGCAGACTTGTCTAGGAGTCCCAGGTGAGAACCCGGTGGGGAGAAATGAGAACCAAGCAATCGGGGTCCGGGTGAGGCGTCCGGAAAGGCAGGCGGCATGCTGGGCCAGGACACAGCCAACATACTTTGCGCATGCTGTTCAGCAACAGGTTTGGTGACTAGGGCGATGCATAGGGGAGCCCACCAGAGCGCAGGACTCAGTATCTGACTGCAGTCTGGATGTGGAATCGATGTGAGGACAGACTCTTCCGAGAAGGCGCCTCACCTGCTTCGGACCTGGGCAGGCTCCACATCAAAGTAGGGTCTCAGGATGTCGATGTTGGCATACAAGCTGAAGGCTCTGGAAGCTTGTCTCTTCCCTGCCTGCCACATCTGAAGGGAGATGGCGATTGTGAAACTGGTGGCGTTAGACTGTTACCCAGTCCCTGTGTGGTTCTCCCTGGAAAAGCTACAGCATCACCTTAGGACCTCCATGGGAACATCTGCTCACCTGGTCAGCCACCTGCCGGCTCAGCTGTCCCTTAAAGCCTTTCATGCCAAGAAACTCCCCATCCTCCTCTTCTGCAGCAGCTGCATCGGCGTCTACTTCTTCCTCCCGCAGGCGCTGATGCAGCTCACCCATATCCTCGAAGCTGGAGCCTGAGGTATCATCCATGTTCTCCATATCAATGACAGCCGAGCCCCCACCCTGTGAAGACAAAGGCTCCTGCAGTGAGGGGGCCTTCTGTTGCATCCTTCCCTCTCTGCTCAGCTCACGGCTTGAGGCTTTGCTCATCCACTGATGAGGATACTGGAATGGCTACCCGCCGTGCCAAACCCCTTCCTTCCTTCCTTCCCCTGGTGGCACAACTCTGGTGGCCACACTTTTCGTAGTTCAGGAAACCTCCCAACGTGTCTTCAACTCACGTTGTTTTCCTACTTTTCCCCCTCAAAGCTTCAAGGGACTGCACTGGAGCCGAGCTGCCTTCCCCAACCTTCAAAGCAGCCTATGCACACAGTGTGTCTTCGGGGAGTGCGGGTGAATCTAGCCCTGCGCTCTGCCTGGCCCGCAGACCGCCCAACCCGTCCGCAAAGCCCCGGGCAGGCAGGGAGGCCGGCTGGAGCCTTAGCCTGGCCCCCTCTCGTCAGCACAAGCTCTACAGGCTTTCGCGTGGAGGGCTCAGAGGCCAGGGGTTGCAATGGAGCAACCACGCTTGGGACGGCCGCCAGCCCGGGGGCTGCGGGCAGCCGGGGCGCCCAGTACCTGGATGTTTTCTTCGAAGCCTCCCCACTCCGGGCCAGCTCCATGTCGGACGCCGCTGGCCGGCGCCGCCGGAGTCGCCATGTCCCTCGAGGCTTTCCGTCGCGCGCGTGGGAATAGTGAGAGACCCGGGCCCGAGTGAAGGCAACGTCCAGGGAAGGGAGAGGGAGAGGTAGTATCCGCCGGAGTGCAAAAAAAAGGAGAAACCCGGATGTTTGGCCCAATTGACGTCCGGAAGTGGAGGACGTGGACGGAGGCGGGGCAGGATATCGCGACATTCAGGAGTTCAGGAGGCGGGGCGTTGCCCCGGAGACGGCGACGGGCCGCTTGTACGCAGGCGCGGAGTCGGAGGCGTCGCGCGGTGACTGGTGGAACATGGCGGCTTCGCAGGCAGTGGAGGAGATGCGGACACGCGTGGTTCTAGGAGAGTTCGGGGTTCGCAATGTAAGCTCAGCTCTGCACTCGGGAGGCATGGAGGCGGGACATGGAGGAGGCCTGGCTTGGGGCTGTCCCGTCCTCACTGCCCTTCGTGATCAGATCTCTGTGGCTCTAGGTCCATACCACTGACTTTCCCGGTAACTATTCGGGTTACGATGATGCCTGGGACCAGGACCGCTTCGAGAAGGTGGGTGCGCTGGAGGTGTTCAGACGGCTCGAGGGTCCGGGCCTCACAAGTTAGTTTTGGGGCCAGGGATCGCTGCTTTCATAAAGCACAGTGAGCCATGTGCTAGGTGCTGCATGGACAGGCCGACCTGGAACAAGTTCCTCACTCTCGGTGGGGTAAAGGACAACGTGAACAAGTGATTCCAGTATAGTAAAACAGCGGCGAGGATGGCTGGGATGGGGTAGAGGAGTCACCTAGATGCACTTAATCCAGTTACTATAAACGCTTGTTTGCTCAGAGCCTGTTCCAGCTCATGTCAGTGCATTGGCGTGAGTGCTAGTCAAGATTGGCCTGTATTTTTTTTTTATTTGCATTTTATGCACACTGGTGCTTTGTCCGCATGTATGTCTGTGAGGGTGTCGCATCTCCTGAACCAGGGGTGGCAGACAGTTGTGAGTTGCCGTGTGGGTGCTGTGAATGGAACCCAAGACCCCAATTGGGGTGCATCTTGCTGCTCTATAGGTTAATAGAGAGCTTTGTTGTTTTGTTTCTTCGAGACATGATTTTTGTGTGTATCCCTAGCTGTCATGAAACTAGCCTCTGCCCCCTATCCCCCTTCCCCCCAGCGCTGAGCTACCACGCCCGGCTTAAAGAGAATTTTTCAATGGACTGATGAAATTTGTAACCTTCACAGCTGAGAGGGAATGAATGAATCCCTCTGCCAGAAGGATTGGAGCAAGGAGTGAGAACTAACAGCTGTGTATCATAGCTGTCTTGAGGGCTGTGTGTGAAAAGAGCCTTGTGACTTGGGGGATTTAAAGAGTATATTTGTGCATCATGTGTGTGACTGGTGACCCGGGAGGTCTGAAAAGGTAGTTAGGTGTCCTGGAGCTGGAGTTGTGGATGGTTATGAACCACCATGTGGGTGCTGGGAACCAACAGTTCACTGTTAAGAGCAGTCAAGTATGCTTAACTGCTGAGCCATCTCCCCAACCCCATTGCTATCTTGATGGCTGATTGTGTGATGATACATTCAAATTCTTGTCTGTGAAGTCTATAGGCCAAGTGGATGATGTCTGAAATGAGATCAGAAGGAGACCAAGTGTTGGGGGTGGCTGAGTAGTTGCTTAAGCCATGAGTGTGAGTGAGGTCAACCAAAAGATCAGAACCTGGGAGAAAGTAACTTTTACAGGGTGAGTGGAAGAGAGAGTTTAGAAGGAATATCAGATAGATGATAGATAGAACTAAACTGGATTAAAAAATAAAAACAACAGAAATGCAGTATTAACTTGCCTAAGCAGTGTGGCATGTTCTGCTCTTTAGTGAGCAGCTTCTGTGGGTTGTTTTTGTGGATCCATATTGCTTAGGGTCTTTAACTTAAGGTAAAATTGTGAAGCCAGACATAGTGGGTGTACACCTTTAATCCTAGTCCATAGAAGACAGGTAAGTAGTCCTGTGAGTTTGAGGTCAGCCTGGTTTACATTAAGCGTTCCAGGGCAGCTAGGGCTAGCTATGTAGTGAGAACCTGGTTTGTTTTTGTTTTTCAAGACAGGGGTTCTCTGTGTAGCTTTGTCCTGGAACTAGCTCTTGTAGACCAGGCTGGAGTTGAACTCACAGAGATCTGCCTGCCTCTCCCTCCCAAGCACTGGGATCAAAGGTGTATGCCACCACTGCCTGGAGACCTTGGTTTTTTTTTTTTGTTTGTTTGTTTGTTTATTTACTAAAAGAAAAAATACAAACCCAGCCAGGCTTCTTACAAAACTCAAGAACGGGGCTGGAGACAAAGGTCTAGCGATCATGTGGCTTTAGGATGAGAGAGGGTGGAAATTCCGTGAGGGACATTGCCAGGGTGGGAGTAGCCACAGAGGGAGGCATGGATTACACAAGGGAAACCGGCGTTCCATGAGGCTTTTCTCCGTCCTTCTAGAAATTCCGTGTGGACGTCGTACATATGGATGAAAATACATTGGAGTTCGACATGGTGGGAATTGATGCTGCCATTGCTAATGCTTTCCGGAGAATTCTGTTAGCTGAGGTAGAGGAAGACCTGGTGAGGGGCTGGAGTGGGGAAAGTAGCCGTCCCTCCCTTCCAGGCAGCCAGGGTGCGCCATACCTATAAGATGAGCACTTAGAAAGCAATCTGGACTACATAGTGAAACCCCCGTCTCAAATAGTGAAGAGCAAAATAAAAAGAGCTGTATCTCTTCTTTTCCCATTAGGGAGATAGGTGGGAATCAGTTGGGTTTTGCAGTTGGATGATTCTGCTTCTTTGGACAGGTGCCAACAATGGCGGTGGAAAAGGTTCTGGTGTACAATAACACATCCATTGTCCAGGATGAGATCCTTGCTCACCGCCTAGGGCTCATCCCCATTCTTGCTGATCCACGTCTGTTTGAGTATCGGAACCAAGGTGAGGCTGAGAAGATGAGACTCTGAGCTAAGTGGAGGGACTATCCTGAAGTGGGACGCAGATCCCAGGGTTACTACTGTGAGACTTTGGTTTTCCTATGGGAGAACACTTGTCATTGCCTTCACTTTGTCTATATATAAAGGCTTTCAGCATAGTGCCGGCACTCAAGACAAATTTAATTCTTTAAGAAACTTTGTGTGCTGTGTGCACGTACACACAGCTGTACAGGTCAGAGGACAACTTTGGATTAGGATTTGCATGGGTTCCACGGATTAAACTCAGATCTCCAGGTTTACCTGACACCTTTGCTCTGTGAGCTTTCTTGCCAGCCCCTATTATTAGTCAGAGGCATGGTGTACATCTTTATTCCCAGCACTGGCTGATCTTTCAAGAGCTCACGAGCTCAAGGCCAGCCTGCTATGTACAGTGAATCCCAGGGCGGCCAGGTCTAGGGAAACCTGTCTCAAAACTAAGAAAACTCTGCTTCCTCACTTGACAGGGGAGGAAACAGGAACAGAGATAGACACACTGCAGTTTCGGCTGCAGGTCAGGTGTACCAAGAATCCCAATGCTGCTAAGGATTCTTCTGACCCCAGTGAACTCTATGTGAACCACAAAGGTGAGCAATAGTAAGGAAGAGAGCCCAAGGCTGACGGGCACTAATTTTAGGGCCTGGGATTTTCTGACATTTTCTCTCCAGTATATTCCAGGCATATGACGTGGATCCCCTTGGGAAATCAGGCCGATGTTTTCCCAGAGGGCACAATTCGCCCAGTGCATGACGACATCCTCATCGCTCAACTTCGGCCTGGCCAGGAGATCGACTTGCTTGTGCACTGCGTCAAGGGCATTGGTGAGAACCCGAGTCTGCCCAGGGTGGGGGCGGGCGTGACTATAGTAGTGCAAATAAACCAGGGAGCTGGCACACGACCAGTGTGCATCCGTTGCTCCCTGGCATAGGCGAATAACAGTTTCTCACAGGCAAAGATCACGCCAAGTTCTCACCGGTGGCAACAGCTAGCTACAGGCTCCTGCCAGACATCACCCTGCTTGAACCTGTAGAAGGGGAGGCAGCTGAGGAGCTGAGCCGGTGCTTCTCACCCGGTGTGATTGAGGTACAGGAAGTACAAGGTATGGTGTCTGGTGTACTGTTGGGTCACGACCTGTACACCAAAGTGTATTTTCTTTGAAGGTGGCAGAACATAAAAGCTCTTAGAGTTAACTAAGCTAAGGTGTGGCATCATTTTCCTTAGGTAAAAAGTTGGCCAGAGTTGCCAATGCTCGTCTGGATACCTTCAGCAGAGAAATATTCCGGAATGAGAAGCTGAAGAAGGCTGTGCGGCTTGCCCGTGTTCGGGACCATTATATCTGTGAGTGGGGTGCATGCAGAACCCTGCAGTAAAAGGTAAACCTTGCCAGGGCTGAATTGTCTCTTTGGTCCCTAGTTTCTGTGGAGTCCACTGGAGTTTTGCCACCAGATGTGTTGGTGAGTGAAGCCATCAAAATCCTGATGGGGAAATGCAGGAAGTTTTTGGATGAACTAGACGCAGTTCAGATGGGCTGACGTTTCCAGGATAGCGAGGCAGCTCCTGGACAACCATCTTTCACCACTGCATGGATGTGCCTACTGCAACTAGAGGTTCAATTCTCAGTCAATACATTTTATTAAATGTGCCACAGATTAAGACTTATGCCTTTGTAAGGCCTTTGTAAATAAACGGATAACCTAGCACAATTTGTTTTCAGACTTTTTTCTTTTTGTCTAAAAATCTTGCCTCAGAAAAGGTTGGCATTAAAGGTTCCCAGGCCCCAAATTACAATAGGCCTCTGATCTTGTACGCGGGCGGGCAGGACAGAAGAGGCTGTACTAGTGCTGGCTCTCACTGTCTGTCTCCTGGGCTTCTTGTGAGAAAGGCCCTTTAGCTTCAGAAGTGTTGCCACCGGCAGTCCCCCAGAAGGTAATCGTTTCCTTCTGGACAGACTTAGAGGGCCTGGGACAGGTTCCGGTGGTCAGGGGTAGACATCTGACTATCTCATAGCTTGTCTGGCCCATCAACAGGTTTTGTTTAGTCCCCCTAACAAGATGCTCATGAACAGCCTTGGAGGAATCATTGGTTTGAAAAAGGAAGATAGGGCCCTTTCTGTATGAAACGGAGATTTTTACTGACATGCAGATGTACTTTAGAGTTAGCATTTCTACAAAAGGTTCTATAAACAATAGAAAATTTCTAGCATGAAGTCATAGGATGTTAAAAATATTACAACATAATAAATACAACTAAACCCTCCACAGTCCTAACCAGACAGGAGTAGGCAGCTATCAGGTTTGGAGGGAGACACTGAAGTCACCTTCACAACTTGTGCAGACCCCAAATGCCATGAAGAGGGATGGCCTTGTGCAGATGTGGACAGTGACTTGGTACTTCAGTTGCCATTCCCCAGCCCTCACTCTCGAACCTACCTGTTTGTGCCTGGGGCTTGCACCAGGTCAGAGTGGGCCAGTCAGAGCACAGGCAAGCACGCACACGCACAAGCACAGAGGTCAGATCTGCCTTTCCTGACAGGCAGGTCCAGGTCTCACACACATTTGCCTTATGTTCAAATGCATTTGGACTCAGCTAGTCCCAGAAGGATAGACAGTGACTTTGCTAGCCTAACAGTGTGACCTTAGGTGGTCTGGATGTGACTGGTGTCATGTGATGCTGACAGGCCCTAAGGCTGGGTAAACCCCTGAGGGTCACTCACAGAAGGGCAAGATGTGCATTTTAAGGAACACAATGTTGGTCTATACTCTGCCTGCTCTTGTCCCTGGGTACTGTGCTCAGATGTGAACAGAAGCCGGTACCACGGCTAAGGAAGGTTAAGCATGTAGCACCGAGGCCAAACGTGCCCTTGGGAGTATAGAAAGATCCCTGTCAGCTCAAAAGCCAGAGGCTCAAGCATGTACCTTGTAGTCCAAGAGAAACTGGCTGAGCCCTTGTCAGTTTGGCCAGCGGTGTTGGGCACAGCACCCTGTCCTGTCTCTGCTGGTGTAGCTCTTTGGGGAAAGGCCATTGTGCTCTGCAAGTTGAATGCCAACTCCCTAGGACATCTGAATGGGATGGTGTGAGCCCTAACTCCCTCTTCTCACTACTCCAGTAGAGTGACTTGGGCCTGCATGGGGCCTTCTCTTCTGCAGCTTGACCTGGATCTGAGATGTCCAGGCTGACATGGTGGGAAGTAGGGTGGCAGTACAAGGGCCTAGAGGTCAGCTACGAGGGGGTAGAAGAGATGACAACACAGGCCAAAGAAGGATGCCCAAAAGCTTGATTCAGGGTTCAAAGATGGTGGCCAGCCCACCAGCATCACTGTCCAACACTTCTGTCTCCAGCATTGGTTTTGGCTTTTTGAAAAGTGTAGGAAGGTTCTTAATGTGAACTTCTTTTCGGAATTGTTCTCCCAAAGGTTTCTGTAGAGAGCAACAGAGAAACACCTTAGGGTTGGTGGGTTCAGGTTGTGAGGCAGAGGCCCCTCCCCCCACCTTACCACACAACCAGAGCAGCCATCAACTACTTGGTTTTGAATTTACCCACAACAGTCTAAGACAGCAAGCGACTGTGTGGGGCTGGGAGCCATAACAGGGATATATGATTTACCCCAATGCAGCCAGAGATGAGGCGTTTGAAGTGGTCCTTGCGGCGTTTATCAGCTGTTTTTTGAAGGGAAGGGTTTAAAAGCTTGCAGTCAAATTGGTCCAGTGACTCCTTGTGTATTTCAGGGATCTGCTCCATTACTGCTCTTATCTCGAGGTACCTGGGACGCTGGTTGAGTGCGGGATAGACGATTCAGTGGATGTAGGTTTGGCCGGTCACCTCTCCCGTTCCATGCCACACCCACCTCTCAGGGGCAGCACAAGCAGTATGACAGATAGATGCCTGGGTTTAGGGCACAGCTCCAGACCCTGGGAGACAGGCAGAGTGAAGCAGCTAGGCTGCCAGCCATCCTGCCCTGAGGTGCTCTCCACTTACCAGGGTCTCGTATATCTGGAAGGCCAAGTGGACCAGGGAAGCCATGCACCCATCGTGCTGTCCATGCATCTGTAACCCTTTCAGCACACTGCTGAAAAGCCACGTGACAGCGTCTGCCAGCAGGGTCCCAGACATCACCTGGGAAGACAGCTGTGCTCAGGAGCCACAGGAGCCTCAAGGGCCCACCCCCTGCTCCCTCAATTGACTCAGTCTACAAGGCTGACAAGCTTTCTGAGAGGCGAGGACAAGGGGGTGGTAATGACTACTCTGATAGAGCCTCCAGTATGTTCTGAATACCCAATCTCTAGCTATTTTGAAGACTGTGGAGCCAAGTTGGGTCTTGACTGGCACAAGTAGGTCACAGGGCAAGCCTTTAACAGTTACGCTTGCCCATGGTCAAAACCTGTGCTCCGGGCTTCCTTCTACGAGATGTGAGGATCTATCACTATATGCTTTTGTCACAGTGAACTTAGCCATGCTCTGCCCACCAGACTGAAATCCCCCTGAAATGAAGTAAAAATAAGCCCTCCTTCCAGTTAGTCTATATTAGGTGAATTTGGTCACAGCAATAGAAAAGTAACTAAAAGTAGCCCCTGCCACTCAGAAGGATGAGGCCGGTTGGCAAGACTTCAAGGCCTCCCTGGGATCCACAGGTAGCTTGGGAAATTTACTCAGACCCTCATCTCAAAATAAAGAGCCTTGGGAATTTAGCCCAGTGGTAAAGGGTGTGCCTAGCATGCTTGTAGCCCTCCCTAGGTCCACTCCCACCCAAGCCCACCCCTAAAACAGTGAATAAGCATACTTGTTTGAGGAGAGGCCAGCAGAGTTGTGTGGTTGCCCTCTGGCAAGACAGAGTGTCCTTCCAGGTAAGAGAACTAAACGCTGTAATTAACAGTGCTGTGCAAATATCCTGAAGAGGAAAGGAAAAAGAGAGAACAATGGGAAATGAATACTTTCCCCTCTGATTGCATCATACATAGAGTTGGGCCAGCCTCGGCTCCACAGTGAGCTCCAGTCGAGCCAGGGTTATGCAGCGAGACCCTGTCTATTTAGAAAAGAAAAGTGTGTGGGTGAATAGCTGTCTATGGGCACCAGACATCTGGAGCCTGCAGCAATGTACCTGCATGTTTATGGAGAACATCTGTCCAGAGAAAGCAAAGCAGGATCTGGACAAGGAGAAAAGGCACCACCTGTCCCTCTACCCACCTCATGCTTCATCAGGCACTTGCCCAGGTCTGTGAGCTCTGCCACAGATGAAGGGGTTACTTCAGTGGCCATCATCTCGTCATCTGCAAGCAACACAGGGCATTAATCTTCATTCGTTCACAGCAAAGAGGAATTCCCAAACGGGATGTCTTCAGCTGGCTGGCAGTGAGCAGTGCTACGCAGGACTCCACACCAAGAAGGAAGGCTGCAGACACTAGGCTATTTCCTGTGTGAGCGCCCGAGCTCACAGGCACCGGTTCAGTTACTGGAGTATAAAAGGAACAGCACAGTCCTTCCCCTGACAGCCTTCATAGTGAGGGAGACAGGCAATAAGTGAATAACAGAGAAATGAACATAACGCAGAGAAAGAGACAACACAGTGCTGGGCCTGTGAGGCCTGGAAGATCAGACATACAGGAGATTGCATCTGAGCAGAGACTGAACAAGCAAGGTCAGGGACATTCTGTCCTGGAGGACAGGCACCGTGGACAGACAGAGGGAAGAGCAAGCAGGCCAGTATGAGTCTACAGCGAGATATACCCTGCTGCTTCTCCATGTGCGGGGCCACAGATCACTCACCATCTCCATCCACAGTGGGGACAGCGCTGTGGTCACCAGTCTTCTTTGAGACACAGCAAGCCGCTAGAAGAGAACACAGCTACTAGAGCAGGAGAAGGGAGTATGGCCCCACGGCACGACAGTCACCGCACCAGCCAGGTGACAGCTGGTGGGTAAAGTCAGCTTCACCATTACCACCAGACTGTGGGTCCCTCTTCCAGTCAGTCAGCTAGGGGGACATTATAGACTCTTCTGAGAGGGTGACTGACATACCCTTAACTGCTCTGGGAAAGAATGACCTACTGAATTGTGCAATGTTTCTGAAAGTTGAAAACTGATGTCTTAAGAAGGGAACTTTTTCCTGTCTTGATCAAGCTAGAAGACGCCTGCCACCAGCCCTGCCAGCACTGTTCCTATTTTGGATCCCTGTCTTATTTGTAACTTCGTTATCAGCCCAGGCCTCTGCCTCAGCCCAGCCTGTGCGGGGCAGCTGGAAGAGCTCCACTGGCCCCACACACCACTTACTGATGAGGTCCATGACTTCTCGGGTTAGCATCCTCACCAGTTGCTCCTCCAGCATTTCTTGAGACTCAGGGTTGTCCTCCGCAATCTCGTCCTCTCCACTGCCGAGAACCAAGGCCCAAGTTCCATGGGAGATCAGAGGAGGTGAGGAGAAGGACAGGGCCCTCCCCAGCACCCCATGCCATCCCTCTTCTGGCTTCCCCCAGGTTCCCCCAGGTCTGTGTTCTAAAAGTACATCAGAGATGGGCAGCAGTCCAACGAGGGACATTATCTCTTATGAGTCTGCTTGGCTGGCTGGAGGGCTAAGGGTCAAAACTAGAGTAGGTAAGAGAAAGGTCTCCACGGGAAAGCCGAATCTCAACACCAGGCCACTCACTGGTAACAGCCTGTCCAGACAAACCACGTCATGCAAGCTGGGAATGACTGCACTGCTATTCCAGCC